AATACAGTTTTCTAACTACATGTCGGGTATAAAACCCAATGATTTGCGTGTATTTCAAGTGATGTCGGGTTTGATTGCACCCAAAAGTATTGGTCTCAACGATAGGGATGTGGTGTTGAAGTTAAGGAACGTTTTCAACAAAACATTGCATTATTCTCATTATGCAATAAAATGTTGTGAAATATTAACAGTATTAATTGTGGTTATAATTTATTATGCTAACTTTTCTACGATAGATATTATTATTTACGGAATAACCAATACTATATTCTGGATGCTTGTGTCCGAGTTTTCATGTACTATAATGATTTGGCAATTTGTATATTACTATTTAATCACATATTATTTGAATATTAAATTAAAAATATTCAATTATAAGTTAAAAACACTTTTGTCTATTATTGTTATAAGAAAAGTAATAACTAATAAAAAAATATTTAAATTAAATACAGTTTCAATTCGAGAATTATATCAGATCTATGACGAGATCAATGAATACAATGATATTTATTGGTCTAAATATTTGTTAATCATTTGGATTGTATTTAGTTGTCTCATATCAACGGTTACTTATCTCGTGTTTTTTGGTGACACCAATATATTCCCTAAAATAGCATTCTTTTTGTATTTAATCGGATTAACACTAATCCTGATGTTTATAATCCGTATTTCTTCACTCATTTATATCGAAGCGAATAATTCATACAAATTATTAAATTCAATATTTTGTAAAAATAATCCATTAATTAATATTTCCTTTAAAATTAAGGTTAGTTTTTAAAAATGTCTTACAATATGTTATATTAATTTTATTTATAATTTTATAGTTATTAACACTAATTGAAAGAATTGGTACAAAAAGAGTGGGTTTTTATTGTTGGAAATTATTTATTATCAACACTTTGAGGGGATTTGAGGTCTGAGGAAATTATTATTTATAATTTACTGTATAATAATGTTTTCAATTATTTCATTTCAGATAATCTCAATGATTGTAATGTTGTACTTAAAACTGCTTAATTGATCACTATTTATAAATTTAGTAATTGTAACAAATTGTGATTTATCAATATAAATATAAAAACCATATTAATGTTATCCACTTGACTCACAAACAGATTAGAAACGGTTATAAACTGATCATTACTTGTGGCCACAAATGTTACCCCTTTGAGAACATTTAAATATATGATTATGTGAATATTTATTTATTTAAAACATATAAATTATTTAATGTCTAATAAGGACGGCTAATAATATTTTAAAATTATAATAACTTTTAGTCAAATGATTGTATTTTATAAAAATTTTTAAAGTTTTACGATTAGTGTACATAAAATAACACTAATAATATTAAAACATATTTATAATGAACTAACATTTTTTGTTTAAGTGAATAGTTTAACAGTTAAACTCTAACTTATATACAAAATATTGTCTCTTGTATTAATACACGGTCACTATCATTGCCACGTTTACTACATCATGTCATTTAATAAAAAATTATACTAAATTGAATTTAAAATATTATTTTAACCAAAATTAGTTATAATTAATTAAACCATACAATTCAAGCATAAAATATATCGCAACTTATGTCAACAATGAATGTGTCTAAATACGCTTCACAGGTATTTCATAAACTATTTAATAATTATAGACTAAATAATTTTGATCTCAAATTATAGTCACAGATATATTCAAAGAACTCAATGGACAGATTCGGTGACGATTTGTGTGCACTTCTTGTGTCTTACATCTCATTTAAAGACCGATTCCGTTACGAATGTGTGTCCAAACAGTTTCAGAGGACAGTCTTCACGAGTGTTGTGGACATCAATCTGAACGACATATACATGAGAAACACAAAGAAGATTATATTGACTAAAACAATGTCTAAAATTGCCACTAAGTGTCCAAACATTGGAGCCATCGCTTGCGGGACAAGAAATGGACAAAGAATTGAAAAGTGGCCCGAATTGATGCAACCATTTCGAGATAATTGTCGACATTTACGGCATATTTACTGCAACTTCATTGGAAACAGCGACCGATGGGGTCCTCAATACTGGCCTCTTATGACACAAATATATGTGTTTAACGAGGATTTAAATAAACAATCACTCATTCATTGCCACCGATTGTCACAACTACGGGTCCACTCGTTGTCGGATGTCTTCGACACCACTTCCGGATAATTACTGGTAAAGAATTTACAAAAATTTGAGTTTTCCTGTAATGCAAGCTATAGTAGCGGACAGTTGTCCGCATTTGTGGCCAACAATCTGTGCCTCAAAAGTATTGTATTTATTAACCACAACACCGAGAGTTTCATTGAATTTGCGGATCAATTGTCACGATTACCACAATTAAGGGAACTAAGCGTCGAGTTACACCTCGATGTATCTTTTCAAAACTCTTTGCGTACAATTGGCGTAAATTGCAAACAATTGAAGCGATTGTCACTCGTATTGCACTCCAGAACACAGGAAGTGAATGACAAAACTCTGGATTCGTTACGATTTTATTCCCAAATAAAACGATTGAATTTATCAATCCTTTCATTCATCGATAGGCAATCATTGGATCCGTTGAGACACTGCCGACGGTTAACACATTTAACATTAAATTTGTATTTTACGGTAGATATGACCTCGTTATTGCATAATTGTGACCAAATGTGGCCACGGGTTCAATGCCTGACTATATTGTTACCATATGTGATCAATGTTACCTGGTTGACATCAATATCAACACTACCGGCGTTGCAATCATTGATTATTTGCCAAAAGACACAGAATTTTTATCGTCTGAATGCTTTAAATGCTGTGTTGTCTTCGAGTCCTAAACTCAAGACAATTGAAATCCGTGTGAATAATAAGAAAATGTTTTATTTAAAGTAAAAAGTATATGAGTTTCACTCATTTTTTGGCTTTCAATTAATTAATACATATTTGATTTTGTTTAACTAAAACAAATAATAATATTTTCTGAAATTATATTATTTTGTTTTAAAATTGTTAAAAATTTAGTCAAGATATGTTTACAATTTATTTAATGCTTGAGTAGTTGAGTAAAAGCCGTAGATTGTAGATAATAAATCATTAGCGCCGGTAATAAACTGGGCATCACTTGAGGCCAGGAATGCCACGGCTTTGGCCACATCCAGGGGCTGACCGATGCGTTTCAATGATGTTCAATCTGAACACATAAAAATAGCGTTAGTTTTAATTCAACATAATATTAAATGTGAAAATAATTTAAAATTGTTAACAATTTCCCGATTGGGCAAAACAGGACTTTTAACAAAATCTAATTATTAATATAAAATAAATGTTTATTGTAGTTCAAATGTGGCAATTTTGTATACAAAATTTTGATTAAATAAACATAATCATTTATCAGAGTTAATAACCTTAATGATTTAATAATTCTAGAATTAAATGATACAGTATTTTCACTACAGTGTAGGGTATTAGGGATCAATGTTACAAGTGTTCAAAATGTTATATTAATACTATCTGTATAGTTGTAATGAAGAGTGAGTTAACTATCACTATATAGTGTAGTATTAGTCCTATTATATAGTTATATAACAAATAGGATTCTAATAATTAGTGTTTAATATAAATAGTATTAAATATTTAGTATTACATAACACTTCTGTTTTTTATTAATGTTTTTAACGTTAAAATTGCGACATTTTTATTATTTTGTTTGCGTTTCATAACAAAAATACAAATATTTATCCATCACTTCAATTGATCCCAAGAAATGTCACAACAGATGAAACACATAAAGACATCACTCGAGACCACAGATGACGGCAAAGGAGAGGACATTCAACAGGTATTTGACAAACAATTGATTAGTTTATTGAGTTTTAATTGTTTTTATAACATATGTTAGGGACAAATGTATGCGAAGAACTCAATGGACAGATTCGGTGATGATTTGTGTCAACTATTGATGTCTTATCTCTCACTCGAAGATCGGTTTCAGTTGGAATGTGTGTCCAAACAGTTCCAGAGGACTGTCTTCGGAAGTGTTGTTCAAATAACATTTAACGACAATCTGTGCAAACGACTCAAAATTGGGCGAATATTTTTCGAGAAGTTATCCGAAATTGCCATAAAATGTTCAAACATTGAGACCATTAAGTGTCGAGAAATACAATCACCGCAAGTGTTGAACATATTTCGAGACAATTGCCGACATTTGCGGGAAATTTCCTGCAATTTGGAAACAGTAAACGACTGCTGGAGCCGTGAGTTCGGGCCTCTCGTCACACGAGTCGACTATTTTACAAACAAAGAGTCACTCATTCATTGCCACCGATTGTCACGATTAAAGGCCAATCATTTGGATGATGTCTTCGACACCACTTCCGGACAATTATTAGTTAAAAATTTAAAGCATTTTAAGTTCAGTTTCGGCGAACCCGAAGGCAGAGATCTATTGAAGCGATTTATAGCTGCAAATAAGTCAATCAATATTATAGAAATCTTAACATACAATCAGCAGGACTTCGGGATTCTATCGGGATTTCCCGAATTACGGGAATTGTCACTCCTATCAGTTCATTACGACAACTCAATTGTCGACTCTTTGCGTACAATTGGCGTGAATTGCAAACAATTGAAGCGCTTATCGTTGCGGTTGTGTTCGTCTATAACTCACAATCAAACCGAAACTCTGAGAGTCCGGGCGTTGGAAACGTTAAAATTTTACCCCCGATTAAAACGTTTAACAATCAATTGGGCTATTGATCGAAACAATTTGGATTGGTTGAAATCCTGCCACCGATTAACACATTTAAAACTAAACTCCTATAAAATTCATTTAAATTCAGTGATTAACTGTTGTAAAAATTTGCCTCGACTTCAGTGCCTCACAATTGGGTGCATTTCAATACCATCGAAAGGGATGAGTGGTCTGAATGATATTGATTTCATGGATCTGTTGTCTTCGAGTCCTAAACTCAAGACAATTGAAATCCGTGTAAACAATGAGAAGAAGTTTTATTCAAAATAAAAATTAAATGACTTTTATATAATGTTTTTGCCTTTCAATTAAATGTAAATTAACTTTATTTTGTTAAGAAAATTAATAAAATAATTTTTTTCCCGAAAATAAAAAATTAAATATTATGTGAAATATAATTTATTCAATATCTGTGCCCAACAGTGGAGTCAAAGCGCTGGCGTT